AGTAATGGTATCCTGGTACAATTTGAACTGCTGCATTGCACTAAAAGTCGTCAGAATGCCTATTGTATAAATTACAATACTATTATATATATCCAGCATCGACTATTGTATAATTTACACAGTCACAAGTAATCTACGGGTCGCCACAATGCATATAGTTATCATGGTCGTTGTCATAGTGACCTAAGTCTTCAGTTGACACTGCCCATGTATAATCACAATAAAGTAATAAACTTTGTCGCTCTTTAGTGACGCCTTTGTGACCTCGAGCTGTAGTAATCGGGCAGCAGACAGTTTACTGTTATCCGTAAATAAATAATACTACTGACGTGGTCACTTCGTGACGTAAATCAGAGCATTTAATATCCGTGTCATTAATTTGCACATAAATTATAAAGCATCTTGTATAATGTGTCTACTCAGGCGCTTTTTCCTTTCAACATTCCTTCAGAGTTCAGATTAAGGCTGGAATTCGCGCGGATAATAATACGGTATTATAGGAACTTTTTGTATCTTCGTAATCCTTTATATCATATAATGTAAGTTGGCAACAATGGACGTATTACTATTGTATTGTGTTGCAATGCAGCTCGATGTGTACTCAAATCACCAACCAAAATGCGTTATGAGCTGTAAAAGTCACACTTAATTAACTTAACTTTAAAACTTCTTGCACAAAACGAGCTACTAATTAACTAAAAGTTTACTAAAAGCTACTAAATAACTAAAAGTTTTGAGGGAAAGAAGACTAGAGAGGCACGGTGTAGAGACGTTTGACTCTATAATGCTCAGACTCAATGAATATTGATGTGTAAAGTGGCTTATGGGCCGAAGGAGGTCTAAAACCCAAAAAAAGGCGCTCGTAATATCCGAACAATCCCCAAGCACAGTGCACACTCTTACAAAAACCTATGTTAACGGAATAGTCTCTCCTTAATCTATAGCTAAAGGATATAAATATTTAGATCACCTCAAAGAGTATAGATACACTAAGTGTCACGCCCTTGAGGGTCATGAGGGAGTTTGCGCACCTTTTTCAACACTAAAGATCAGTGGTACATGGAGATTGTGTGTTGCACAATATAGCACAATGGGGGGGGGCCAATGGCATAAAATGGCATAAAATGGCATAAAATGGAGACTTTTTCTATGGAGAAAATGGAAAAACCCATGAGTAATTCTCCATTTTCTCCATTTTATGCCATGAATTTTGTCTTCGAAATTTCATCTTTAACACCATTTAACACCTAAATTGGACATCCTAACATGTTTATTCACGCTTACTAGGGGCGTAACAAGCTTATGAAATCTCATAGTAGGCTACTAGATGCTTATACTAGGTTAGTAGAGGCACACTTCAGGCAAACTCATAATTACTCAAGCCTAGTGTAAAGTTATTTCTACAGGCTACAGCAGGAGTGAGTAATAGGGGAGAGTAATAGGCACTGAGAAGTGAGACCTACATCCTCGACAGTCGAAACAAGCTCGCACTGCAAAGGGGAGGCCTGCCTTCCGAGATCGCATTACCAGGGGGAAGCCTCGAGTCCAAATTTGTGTATCGAGGGGTAGGTGCAGACTTCGATAAACCGAAAAACCAAAAAAATATTTTCGGCTTATAATGAAGAGGGTAGCATGAAACGTGGAGAAAAGTGGTTTTTAGAAAAACTTTGAAAAATTTTGACTTAGAAAATTTTCGGCCCGAGTCATTCTCGATACGTACTTCTCGTATCGAGAGCTCCCGATTCCGAGCTCGTGTTGCAAAGGGGAGGCCTGCCTTCCGAGATCGCATTACCAGGGGGAAGCCTCGAGTCCAAAATTGTGTACCGAGGGGTAATTTCTAAGTCAAAATTTTTCAAAGTTTTTCTGAAAAACACTTTTCTCTACGTTTCATGCTACCTTGTTCATTTTAAGCCGAAAATATTTTTTCGGTCAAAATTTTTCAAATTTTTTCTGAAAACCGCTTTTCTCCACGTTTCATGCTACTCTGTTCATTATTTGCCGAAAATATTTTTTCGGTTTTTCGAAGTCCACACCTTCCCCTCGATACACAATTTTGGACTCGAGGTAATGCGATCTCGGAAGGCAGGCCTCCCCTTTGCAACACGAGCTCGGAATCGGGAGCTCTCGATACGGGAGGTACGTATCGAAAATGACTCGGACCGAACATTTTCTAAGTCAACATTTTTCAAAGTTTTTCTGAAAACCACTTTTCTCCATGTTTCATGATACTCTGTTCATTATTGGCCGAAAATATTTTATCGGTTTTTCGAAGTCCACACCTTCCCCTCGATACACAATTTTGGACTCGAGGTAATGCGATCTCGGAAGGCAGGCCTCCCCTTTGCAACACGAGCTCGGAATCGGGAGCTCTCGATAAGGGAGGTACGTATCGAAAAAGACTCGGACCGAACATTTTCTAAGTCAGCATTTTTCAAATTTTTTCTGAAAACCGCTTTTCTCCACGTTTCATGCTACCCTGTTCATTATTTGCCGAAAATATTTTTTCGGTTTTTCGAAGTCCACACCTTCCCCTCGATACACAATTTTGGACTCGAGGTAATGCGATCTCGGAAGGCAGGCCTCCCCTTTGCAACACGAGCTCGGAATCGGGAGCTCTCGATACGGGAGGTACGTATTGTAAATGACTTGGACCGAAAATTTTCTAAGTCAACATTTTTCAAAGTTTTTCTGAAAACCACTTTTCTCCATGTTTCATGATACTCTGTTCATTATTGGCCGAAAATATCTTTTTAAAAAATATTTTTTCTCGAAATTCTAAATTTTTCAGGTTTTCAATGGCATAAAATGGCATAAAATGGAGACTATTTCTATGGAGAAAATGGAAAAACCTATGAGTAATTCTCCATTTTCTCCATTTATGCCATTGGCCCCCCCCCCCCAGCACAATATTGCACAATATAGCACATGTGCAGTATACTATTGATAAGATAGTGCTGTGCATTAGCTCATTAGTAACGAGTGTACACTGTTCCTGTTTGGGGCCAATTTCTAGACAAAACAAACAATAATATCATCTGTTACATCTTTTATTGCAATTACAATATACAGAATACATAGGTCCCGTCAAAATAACTAGCTCCTTGTTCATTCCTGATTTTTCGTTTTGTAAACTATAAAAGTTATAAACTGGATTCGCTACAGCGTCAACTAATATCCTCAAAATACAAGCTAAACAGTAGAATCTACAAACTGTAAATTTTACCGCAAATTTGTAAATGGCCATGATTCATGTCTGGATTTAGGCATTAACCAAGAAGCTCGACCACTAAGTCAAGGGTTACAGACATTAGCCTTCTTGAATACTGACTGGTCTGATTTATGCTTTCCTTTAAGTTCGTATAATTTGCCATTAAATTCACCTAATTCTTGTGCAATCAGGCGAACCTATTTCACTGTATCGGACCCGTTACCACTTTCTATCTGTTCTACTTGTAAGTTGTAATACTATATTAAAAGGTTAAAGATTTAAGACATCAAAATAAAGATGAAGAAAGACAAATATAATATCCAACTTTGTTTTGCTGGCATTAAGTTCTGACACCTCAAATTAAATACACACATTTATCACATTTTTAATCAATAGATCCCGAAATAACTCTAGAAAATAGAGTTACACTGATAACAACAGCTAAGATAAGTGAAACATTAGAACGTCAGTATCTCTCAAAACACTGCGTAATATCGATAGTTGCTGTAATTTCGAGTACACGTGCGTAGTACGTATAAATTTACACGTGTCTGAGTTACACATTAATTTGTGTACGGTACACTATACACTATACACTATACACTATACACTATACATCCATACACCAACTGTTAGGTTCCCCTCATACCATAACGCTTCATATTTTACAGATTTTGGCACTTGAAGCTAAACTTATGATTATCAAATCAAATGCGACCAGTTGGTTAAAGGTGATACCACCTGACCACGTCCGCCTCGTAGACAAATTAACTGTATTATAACTATATAGCTATATTGTAACTATATTATAACTATGTTACAACTATATAACTATATAACTATTTAAGTTTCAACAGCCACAAAGTGACAGAATTCGATGCAACTTCCAATGAATTTAGCCACAGACCTAGACAGTTATAGCAGCATTTACTAAAGATCGTATCTTAATTAATTAAGAAGCTTGTCTTTGCCAAATTTTCATCAAATTTAGGATTTGCAGTGCAATTAGCAATAAGCGTAGAAGCCCGCTTGAGCAAGATCTTTTTGAAAACTGTATCGCTCAATATATCTATACGTGTGTACTACAACGACACGGAACGTCCCTAAGATAGCGAAAGCAATTATGATGATTACACAGGTTGCTCTGGCAGATATAGCTGTATGTCACGTGACTAACAACTACAAAGATGTTGTTCTGTTGGCAACTAAGATATTGTATTGAGTCTGATCTGTCTCAGTAATAATAACAGCGGCCAGCCGCGGTGGAGTAGCTACGAGATATAATCTCTGTTTAAAGGGAGCCAGATATCACAGAAATATTTACCATGTTTATGATGAATTTTATTTTAATCTTAAATTGTAATACATAAGCTACAAGTTACAATAATTTTAACAGCCTCATTTGTTGAATTTTGAGCGGCACTCAAAATTTGGAAACGAGTTTTGAAACATCCTCATTTGTTGGGTCACGAAAAAAAGTTTTAATGTTCACTCAAAATTTCACTCAAAACAGCCTCTTAAAACTTCAAAATAAAAATTCGGTCTCGGCTCTTAACGTTAGCAAATATTAAAACATAAAAGCACACAACATCACCAAGCAGTCCAATACTGTCATTGTCCCGATCCTCTGCAAAAAAATTAATCCGCTTACACTCTGGAACCTGGATTGAAATTTCGACACGTTACCCGAATACCCGAGCGACCCATTAGTGCCCCATTAGTGCCCCATTAGTGCCCATTAGTGCCCCCCATTAGTGCCCCATTAGTGCCTCATTAGTGCCCATCAATTAGTGCCCCACATCAATCGAATATGATCCACAATCCCAGAGTTTCAGGGTTCAGTTGCCAGATGGTGAAGGAAAGGTAAGTAGCGAAGGTAACCCAGGCCAAGTAAGGCAACAAGAGGAGCCCTGCTGTCTTGTTTATGTCACCGAATATCGTTATCGTGAACAGGATAAAGAATGCTTGGAATGTGCTTTCCACTGATGCCTGAAGTTTTGTCTGTTAATCTTGATTCTACGAGCAATTCATAACAATGTTATAATCAACAACAACAACAACAAGGGCAGGTCTCTCCCGAACGTTGGGATGGCCTGAGGTGCTTATCTCCTTTTTCAGTAACCCGAAGCCACTCTGTGCCGAGGCGCTATACTAGCTGTAGGGGGGTTAATCCTACGAGCCAGAGAGTGTGTATCACACACTGTTATAATCAGGGTTCATAAAAAACAACTAAGATTTCTAATAACGCTAACCCAAAGGAGTTCGTGAGCTATGAAGAAGATGGGTGTTTCTAATAACGCTAACCCAAAGGAGTTCGTGAGCTATGAAGAAGATGGGTGTTTCTAATAACGCTTACCCAAAGGAGTTGGTGAGCTATGAAGAAGATGGGTGTCCAAGCAAAATTCAGGGCCAACTGAGTGAAGAATAGGAGCCAGGGTAGAGCCTGTAGGTTAAGAAGTTATCATGAGAGAAGCAAATAGTCTGATGTAGATATATTCTAATAAGAGTAGGAGACCTTTAAACATTTCAATCACCATGTACCTTTGAGCATGAATTTTCACCTGCCGAATGAATAAGCCAAGAAAACTAGCAAAAAAAAGAGCTATAATTTGCAAAATGTAACCTTCTTAAATCCGATGCTCTTCCAGATCATGAAAGCGGAGACGGCCTGCAGGAAATATAGAGTAGTCCACATGGGCCCGAAGAGCCAGTTTGGTGGGTTCCAGGATGGCTTAACCAGATCTTTGTACCTGCGGGTTATATTAAATTAGTACAGTATTCTCTTTGGAATCACGATAAAACATGACAAATCGTCATGAAAATCAGCTTGCTAAATCTAACCGAATATAACTGAGAAATAATACTGGCCAACCTCTAAAACTTAAAAATTAAACTAAAACAACAAATGCACCCCCATATTCTTACCATGTAGCGATCTGGCCAGCAGATGCTATCCCGATAATAGCACCGCCTCCCTCAGTCAGCAGCAGGAACGCAAGAAACATCAGCAAATCCTTCTTACTGATCCGCGGTGCTGACGGCTCGTAGTCTAACTTGTAGCCCAATTCCAGGGGCACTTTAGCCGTTGTCATGCCTAAATCGTACATCATGTAAAGAGCTGGAGAAAGGCGACCTTGATTAGGAACTCCGCAAAGAAATGATTAAAATGATGTTACCAGTATTATAAGAGGTCGCAGGGAGGGTTAGGAAATGTAGTTAACTCTTTAAGTTGTTAACTTTTTATGGGCATTGCTCGAGAATCGAGATTATTCTTCGATCAGTTAAATAGTAAGACGATGTGGCTTTTTTGGGGAACAATTTTAGAGAGGGTCACGTCATTTAATCATATGCGGCAGACTGCTTAATAGAAATAAATGTGGAATCAAATCTTGTAATCATTAATCTTGATAACGCAATATAGATTATTTTGATTTTGCTTTGCTCAATGCTTTTAAAAATGCTGTTATAATAATACATCAAAAGACAAGAAATATGTAGTAATTAAGTTGGTAATTTCGCCCAAATGGTGCTACCTCCGCAACCGTAATCAATTCGAGTAATTGTCTTGGGTAGTTCTCACGCCTCAGCCACTAGATTATTTAACCATTACGTTATTTAAGTTACGAAGCTTATCAGTTGTTACACAGGAAGACATTATCGGAGAAGATGTAACACAAATGCGAGGTAGATGCATCAGGGTTGAGTCTCCACAGAGTGTAGTTAAGATAGGTGGCGAAGGTGACCCATGCTAGGTAGGGTAGGAGGAGGAGTCCTGCTGACTTTTCTACCGGGATGAAGACTGAGATGTTGAGGATTATGAAGACAAGCATCAGAAGAATATCGATCAACCCCTGAAAATTTGTTAATTATCAGTTGTTTGATAAATTGACTGCTGATTATTAATAATTAGCCATCTAAACTATATTAAATAAGTCGAATAAAAGTTATATTGCTGTCTTTAGAGTGGAACAGTAAACAAAGACTCAGACCAATTGTACAAGAGGCTTCAGAAGAAGGCAGTGGATGACACAGCCCGATCACCAATGAACAAATGTTTGGTTCTAAAGAAATCCACTACTGATTATTCAGATCCACACATGCTCAGAATGATCAGTATCAGTCCACTTGATTTGATAAGAAATGCGTCACGTGATTTAAAAAGCGCTACAAAACTCACCCCTAGAAGCTGATGTCCCACAAAGAAGATTAGAGGCCAGGCAAAGTTGAGTGTTATCTGGATGAAGAACACCATCCAAGGAAGGGCCTGGGATACGGATAATATAATTATTATATTATATAGATAATTGGTAAATGCAATTGGTCATGGCGTTTGGCGCCTGAGGTCTTGTTATATTAATATATGGTTGTAATCAGAATTTGAGACGTTACGTCGTTGCAACCGTTTATTATTTAGTTAATTCATTTGAACAGCATGTAATATAACATCATGATGAAATTCGTGGGATCGATAGTTTATGATTCATGAGGTAATTGCAGTAAAATTACCCTATAAACCTCGTCTTAAATCATGATTAAGCACTCAAACGTTTAATTTACCTGACTGAAACCGATTTTCCGGTACACTTTGAAGGCAGAAAGAGCAATCATAAAATAAAGGAGAGTCCAGACTGGGCCAAATACCCAGTTAGGGGGGTTCCAGGATGGTTTCACTAGATTGTCGAACCTGTAAAATGTTTATAAAGGTTATAAAGGTGTATTCTGACGGTCATATACTTTGTGTCACGTGTGTGTGGTGTCACGTGTGTGTTGTGTCACGTGTGTGTTGTGTCACGTGTGTGTTGTGTCACGTGTGTGTTGTGTCACGTGATGTGTTGTGTCACGTGTGTGTTTTGTCAGGTTGTGTCACGTGTGTGTTGTGTCACGTGTGTGTTGTGTCACGTGTGTGTTGTGTCACGTGTGTGTTGTGTCACGTGTGTGTTGTGTCACGTGTGTGTTGTGTCACGTGTGTGTTGTGTCACGTGTGTGTTGTGTCACGTGTGTGTTGTGTCACGTGTGTGTTGTGTCACGTGTGCGTTGTGTCACGTGTGTGTTGTGTCACGTGTGCGTTGTGTCACGTGTGCGTTGTGTCACGTGTGTGTTTTGTCACGTGTGTGTTGTGTCACGTGTGTGTTGTGTCACGTGTGTGTTGTGTCACGTCTGTGTTGTGTCACGTGTGTGTTGTGTCACGTGTGTGTTGTGTCACGTGATGTGTTGTGTCACGTCTGTGTTGTGTCACGTCTGTGTTTTGTCACGTCTGTGTTGTGTCACGTGTGTGTTGTGTCACGTGTGTGTTGTGTCACGTGTGTGTTGTGTCACGTCTGTGTTGTGTCACGTGTGTGTTGTGTCACGTGTGTGTTGTGTCACGTGATGTGTTGTGTCACGTCTGTGTTGTGTCACGTGTGTGTTTTGTCACGTCTGTGTTGTGTCACGTGTGCGTTGTGTCACGTGTGTGTTGTGTCACGTGTGCGTTGTGTCACGTGTGTGTTTTGTCACGTGTGTGTTGTGTCACGTGTGTGTTGTGTCACGTGTGTGTTGTGTCACGTCTGTGTTGTGTCACGTGTGTGTTGTGTCACGTGTGTGTTGTGTCACGTGATGTGTTGTGTCACGTCTGTGTTGTGTCACGTCTGTGTTTTGTCACGTCTGTGTTGTGTCACGTGTGTGTTGTGTCACGTGTGTGTTGTGTCACGTGTGTGTTGTGTCACGTCTGTGTTGTGTCACGTGTGTGTTGTGTCACGTGTGTGTTGTGTCACGTGATGTGTTGTGTCACGTCTGTGTTGTGTCACGTGTGTGTTTTGTCACGTCTGTGTTGTGTCACGTGTGCGTTGTGTCACGTGTGTGTTGTGTCACGTGTGCGTTGTGTCACGTGTGTGTTTTGTCACGTGTGTGTTGTGTCACGCAGTGGTCGACCGGGGGCAGGATTCTGACCGGGGCCGGGGCCGGGGAGCCCCAATATAGCCGGGGCCGGGGCCGGCCACTGAGAATTGGCCGGGGCCGGGAAATCTTCCATTTTGACGGGGCCGGGGCCGGGGCTGGGGGTAGTTTTCCAAACTGTAGTCAGAAATTGAAACGTGAATTTTATAATAATTTTGAAAAATATAAAAAATAATTTGAAAAAATAACTTTGAATTTTCATAATAACCATTAAATTGTGTTTGATTTTTTTCAAAAATGTGCCAAAATCAATCATGAAATCCCCGGCTGTGCCCCCGGTAAATGCATGGTTTTTTGGCCGGGGCCGGGGGTAAATTTATTGGCCGGGGCCGGGGCCGGGGTTTACCCCCGGCGAATTGCCAAATTTTGGCCGGGGCCGGGGGTTGTGATTTTGGCCGGGGCCGGGACCGGGACCGGGGCCCCGGTCGACCACTGGTGTCACGTGTGTGTTGTGTCACGTGATAGCATGGTTGCTAGAAGTAACCCACACTCAGGCCATTGTTACAAATCGAGATTCACTGACACAGAACCATGACGTTCATAAAACTAGTAGAATGGTTGCAGCAAGAATTGTGCAACCTTCGTCTTTAAAAAGGGAGTTGATGCAAAATAAAAGTATCTGTGTATCGTATATATAGTATATAATTATACACGTATGTTAACATTTTAATCTGCTATATGGACACGTTCATAAAAAGGTGGCACTAGAGATTGATTTTTCACTGCCAAAATTTTGTGAAGCATTTTAAAATACTTGTATCTCAAGGAGTATGCTATGAAAGTTAACCAAATTTTAATATGTGGTCCAAAAAGATTCAAATGTCACATAATTAAGTCATTCATCTCTTTATATCTGTTAATTGTGCAGAAATCACAAAATAATCATTTCTTGCACCTCTAATGGCGAATTTACATTCTGTGAGTGTGTCCTGGTCCTCAATGTCTCAATGTGATGAAGGGGAGGAAAATGACGTTACAAAATAAAAGCGTGATTTTAGCTAAGAGGTTCGCACTTTACAGCATTAATGACAATGCGCGTCACCGAAAAATAAAGATAAAAAGTAAGCCAAAAAATAAAGATTGAAAATATGCCAGACACGTACACCGCCGCGAAATTTAGTTTATAAACCCCTCCGGGTTAGAATAAGATTCTGATAATCCCGGCTCCCGCTAAATAGATTCTGATAATCCCGGCTCCCGCTGTTAGTTTTTTCCCGCTGAATAAATAACCCCGGCACAGCTTCTATAATCCCGCCCCGCTAATTTGGCTCAACAAGATTTGTTTTGTTTTGATATTCCATGAGAATTTCAACCGCGCACTGTCACGTGTTTTGATGACGTGTATCACGTGACTAACTACATTGACGCGCATTGGTAAAAAATGTCACGTGACCTATGGCTTAACGTAAGAACTATAAATACACTTGATCTACGTATCGGTCTAACTGCAGGCGCTGGCAAAACTCCAGCACACTGCTTACATTACTTAAACTCTTACATTAATTGGACTAGTTCCAGAACTTGTCTCGACGGTTACATTTGTCCGGTTAATTTTGTCGTGTTTGATATAAGCCATGTATTAATAACTATTATAGTCGTCTACTTTGATGAACTTCATGACACGATATCATTATTAGCTCCACCTTTTATCGCTTGCCAGGCTTAACTCGACGCCCCTTATCGATATTCATTCTACGTTCTGACTGAGGAATAATGTTTAGATATAACGCCAATTTCAAATGTCATAGTACCTTAGTTGTATTTATTTGGTAGTCCCCAATTCCATTTCATATTTTCCATACTGATCTCATATAGCTAGAATTAAGAGTAAAATGTCAAATTTGTTGGTCCTAGCACTAACCCGGAGGGGTTTATAACACATAACACCGGCACGCTTAAGTTATATTAAAATAACCCCTCGTGCTAAAGCACGTCGGGGTTATTTTCATAATAATCCCTCGTGCTTCGCACTCGAAATTATTATAAATTTTTCCCGCGCGTCGCGGGAAAAATTGAAATATAATCCCTGCGCATGCCGGGGTTATGTGTGTTTTAACCATGATTTAATTATAGCCAGCCATATTATAAGTAATATTTAACTGGTTCCGCGTTGTTTGACGATGGCAGCAATTCTATAACGCATGCCATTTTATCTTACTGCATAAACCGAAAGAAAATGAAGGATAACATAGCTCACTACAAGTTTTATACATGAAACTTACTGTGGTTACTACAGTTACTGTGGTTACTACAGTTACTGTGGTTACTACAGTTACTACAGTTACTACAGTTACTACGGTTACTACAGTTACTACAGTTACTACAGTTACTACGGTTACTACAGTTACTACAGTTACTACAGTTACTACGGTTACTACAGTTACTACGGTTACTACAGTTACTACAGTTACTACGGTTACTACGGTTACTACAGTTACTACAGTTACTACAGTTACTACGGTTACTACGGTTACTACAGTTACTACGGTTACTACAGTTACTACTGTGGTTACTACAGTTACTACGGTTACTACAGTTACTACTGTGGTTACTACGGTTACTACGGTTACTACAGTTACTACAGTTACTACAGTTACTACAGTTACTACAGTTACTACGGTTACTACAGTTACTACAGTTACTACAGTTACTACGGTTACTACAGTTACTACAGTTACTACAGTTACTACGGTTACTACGGTTACTACAGTTACTACAGATACTACAGTTACTAAGGTTACAGTTACTACAGTTACTACGTTGACTACGGTTACTACGGTTACTACTGTGGTTACTACAGTTACTGTGGTTACTACGGTTACTACAGTTACTACGGTTACTACAGTTACTACAGTTACTACAGTTACTACAGTTACTACAGTTACTACAGTTACTAAGGTTACTACAGTTACTACAGTTACTACAGTTACTACAGTTACTACAGTTACTACGGTTACTACAGATACTACAGTTACTACAGTTACTACAGTTACTGTGGTTACTACAGTTACTACAGTTACTATAGTTACTACAGTTACTACGGTTACTACGGTTACTACAGTTACTGTGGTTACTACAGTTACTGTGGTTGCCACGGTTACTAACCAATCATCATCCGGTCTCATGGCTCCGCCAGGTGCCGTCATCATCCCCATAAGTGCCCCAACTCCCTCCATCAGTATCAGAAACCCCGCAAACACCACAAAGTCCCTTTTATCCATAGCCGTCTTCTTTCCTACGTTCTTGTAGCCCAGTTCCACTGGGTCCTTATCCATTATAACCATGACCAGCTAGAAAGTTAAAATATAAGGATTTAATTATGCGGCATGATTGATACTATTTGAAACCATATTTAAGATGAAAACGTTACCTATTCGACCCATTTTTGCGCTCTTTTATGTTGGTAATTACTAACATAATATCACAAATATCATATTACTATTACAAATATTACAAAGGTGTGCGTAAACCAGTGGCAGAGTGATTGTGAAAAATGGAGTTGATAACTTTTTTCAATATAAAACAGAGTCGTTTTTCTTCAGAAACTGCAAATTGAAAAGTTTTGCAACCATGTCGGCTGTGACGATAGTATTCATTTATGGCAGTTTGAATTCTTTTAATTACTTTTAATTACTAACATAATATCACAAATATTATATTACTATTACAAATATTACAAAGTAAGGTGTGCGTAAACCAGTGGCAGAGTGATTGTGAAAAATGGAGTTGATAACTTTTTTCGATATAAAACAGAGTTGTTTTTCTTCAGAAACTGCAAATTGAAAAGTTTCGCAATATACTATCGTCTGTGACGATAGTATTCATTTATGTCAGAATTGTGATCTTTAAAAATAAATTAAGTGTTGATCTAAGTTTTAAAATAATAAAAGATTACCAGAATTAAAAGGACTAAACAAATAGCAAACTGTAGACTGAGAGTAGAGGCCGGCTACTGAAACACAGCGCACATACCAATTCCATAAAATCACGAGTTGTACAACTGCATGGTATGTCACGATAAAGTCACTCCAGTTAAGGTATATCAAATTTTCTCTTATCTTACAACTATTACATATCATCACGAGGTTTCTGATCAGCAGATCCCGTATCTTGTTACTTCCAAACCTTGTGTTGAGTTTGGAGAAGAGTGGTATGAAGTTATATCACTGCTCGGTAGTCGGTATGAAGTTTTGTTAGACAATATGGTCCCTCGTACACAATGTGATGTAGATTTTTTAGCAACTGCTCCTTCATAATATAATATTTTGTATCATTTATCAAAAAAGTCACACTTTCTGTACGTGGTACTCCCTGTATATGGTATAATTCTAGTTTACAAAATCGTTTTATTAGTGAAAATATCATCAATTCTCGAATATCGGAGGTCTTCAAAATCAAGATAAAGTTTCGTGTAATTTTAAAATTACGTAATCAGAAGTATCAAGTAAATCTACGGCTAATTTTTAAGTTAATTTACATTACCTTTATCTTATCTCACAAACTTGGATGAGTCACGCACATCCTCCAGAGAGGGTACTTTACAAGAATTTCTCCCGTTTTCTTTAGTTATAGATTTTAATCTACCATCGCATCGATCCTGTTGCCTTTTTAATCATAAAATGTTGATGGGGGAAAACATATGAGCAGAAAACACCATACTTTTGCCACGATGAGATTACTGCCTTGTTCTGATAGAAATGTTCTACAAAATGTTCCTAGTAATCATTGTTATATTGGCTGAACAAGGTTCCTACATTTTTAATGGACAGGGCTAAAATATCAATTAAAAGGTTAGATATTGATCAAGGTTATCAAATAAGTTAAGTACGGCTAAACGATTTTTTGAGATGTGCTCAATCCTGTGTTTAGTCGAGCGGTTTATTGCGTATAACTTCATGTATAATGTTTGAAAAGAGCGTTTTTAACAACTGGTCTATTCAGTGTGCTATTGGCTAGGATTGTGTTTAATATCAGATTTAAACGCGTTAAAATTGCCGTTAAAAACTCACGTTTTAAACAACCTTTCCATTGATATAATAGTCTGTATACCTACGGCTAAACGTAACTTTATCTTATCTTACCGACTAAGATGAGAAACGCATATTCTGCAGGGAATGTAAAACGAACTTTACCAAAACACGAAATTGTGTAAGGTGGACCGTACCTATTTTGTTCCTAATTTAACATTAACAAGGAATGTGTCCTACATGTTGCCACAGTGAGATGGAACCAGCACTTAAACTGTTCAATCTAGCATGTTCTGAATAATATGTTGGCTGAAGCCTGAATATTAGCTGAATGGATGAAAGTGGTCACGTGGCTACCGCCTTCTTAATGGACAGGGTTGTAATATCAATTTAAAAGCTGATATGACACGTAATATAATTTAACTTGATCTGTTTATCTGTTTGAAAGGCTTGCACCGCCTCCCTATTATTACCCACATCTTATTCAAATGCTTATAATAGTTTACATATATCGACTGTTAAGAATACTGAATAGAACATTTAAATACATGATGACCGTTGCAATAACACGATACCGAGATTAAGATATTACATTAATGATTATAAAGATATTCTTTGAAATTTGGACTATTTTCAGTCTAATAATTTCCGGGAGCATGGCATACAAGATGGATATCGTTTGCGTATTTAATATGAAAATGTAATACTGTAATTTAATAGGTACTGCAATTTAATACTGCAATTTAGCAGTATTTTGCTAAGATTGTGTCTACCAATGCAATGGCCAACTAGTGTAACAATTTTGGCAGTTAAGAAGTTGCAAAAGTATGAACCCGCTCAGTCGAAACCAGCACCGAAGCCTCCGAAAAAAAGCAATTTCAAGTGACCGAAGTAAAATGTACATACCTCAAACAAAATTATGAAATATTACCAGTGAGAGTGAAAGAACACACTCAAACTTAATTAAAAATTACGGAATGTAAGGTAAGGCTGTGAGGGAGGGACAGAAAGAGAGAAAGAGAGAAGGGGACAGAAAGTGAGAAATTTAAGTATCATATTAGTTACAAAACCACCAATTAAACCACTTATTCAGCAGATCTAACCGATTATTTTTTGCAGCTGTATCTACCGTATCTCCGCTGGTGACTGTAAAAGTAAAGGGTGCTGTATCCAGCTCCATCCAGATACCATTCGTATCACGTGAGTAAACTTGCCCTTACATTTTTAACCTCCAGAAACAATTATTTTTTAAGCAGCTTCGAGTAGAACACGTGTAATGACATCACACATCGTGACTAGAGATTATCTTGGTAGACCGTACTAATAACAGATACAGACACTTTAACATACCACTAACTGCAAGTTTCATAACTTTCTACAGGTTTTAAGTTATCTGGAGAGAAGACTTCTCTCTCTTCAGAGAGTCCTACTACTGATATCTTCCTTGTGGAGGGAGACTTTTCGCTTGTTCAGGTAAATATCATAGACTAGGGGGAACCACTCTGTCTTGCCTTTTAAAGTTTTGCTTCCCACAATCCGATATTTTCTAGGTAGCCAATTCTCGAAAACATTAGCATAGAGATACATGACGCCACTCCCCAGGCAATGCAGTGACCGTCGGGTCAGTCTATTATTTATATAATTTTATATTTATTTATAAAATTACAAACTAGCTCAAAGCTGGAACCTTGTTCAGGTGACGTTAGACGACAGAGCTGGCGGTGATCTGAACATTATTAAAACCTCGTCTCACTTCCACCTCTCCCTGCTCAACTGGAACACCCAGGCTGTACATTCTCTCACTTTTCTCTGTCCTACTTCTGGTTAGTACTTGGGTCTTGGGTTAGCTGCTTTGTTTTGTTTCGCTAGAAACTGCTGGTAAAAACAACAAACTCTTTCCTCGCATTTTTCATCAAATTAATCGGTAAAATGTTAAAACTAATAACTTCAGTATGTTAGTCTCTAACTCTGTTCCATCAGGTCAGAAGGAAGTGTACGAAGTACTGATAACACCCTCAGAACCCGACCTAACTCCACCTCCCATCAAACTGGAGTTTTCCGAACTTATCAGCACTCTCCTCCCCACTGTCGTCCTGGGACTCCTCGTCCTTCTAATCGTCATTGGGATCGTCTTCCTAACCACCGCCAGCTACAGACGTCTCAAATCCACTTCGTCTCAGTGGGACTCGCCCCTAACTATGAACTCAATGTTAACTACTCCAGTTAAGATAGGTTCCCCGTTCAGGCCGGCGTCAGTGACAGTGACCCCTACTAGACTTAAAACACCGCTTTATACTAAACCTCGGGGGACTCCTGGGAGTATATGAGTGCATGTGCCATGTTCGCCCGCACCCTTCATCCGCAAGAATAATGTATTATTTGTGGTGTTTTTAGTCGTTATTTGAATCATTTGGTGTCGCTGGGATCGAATATTGAATATGGTGGCAGTGTGAATATTAGTTCATGTATCGTTTTCAAACTGATGCGAAGCAAGTATTTCAATTTTACTGACGGTTTTAGGATTGCTTTTATTTTTATAATTTCATTTATATACTGAAATTGTAGTTGTACTTACAGCTGACATGGTTCTTATTTAAATGTTGCTACAATTATTTTGATTAAAAATTCTTTTATTTAGTACATTGGATTTAACAGGTGATACTCGTAAAATATTTGTTCCAAATACTACGACAAGAACGTCGACGAGTCTTGCCCTTGGTAGGTTATAAACCTACAACATCACTAATAGTAATTACTGGAGCAAAGATCTCAGAACAAAATTGAAAAACCTTTTGTCCAGATTGGTGAGATTGATTCTGGGGACATAAACAATTTGACCAAGCCTGATATGAGGTAGTCCGTTATTTTAATAATTCGTTTCAGATCAATGCAGATAATTTTATACTTCGAAGGGCCTTACTTCAAAAGTTAAAGAGATAACGATTTCCGGTTTTTTGTAACGAAAACTTCGTCTGGTTAGAGGCAGTGATCTGAAACTGGGAAGAAGAGACATCAGATAGGGCGCTATCGCTTGTGTTATCAACATTGTTAATAGTGCAGGTTGTTAAACCTGAAGTGTAATCAACATTGTTCCGTACAACAGCTCTGAACCCCACACAGTTCAAATAGAGGTCCACCTTCTGCAGAGCTTATAGGCACTCCGTTTTCATCCGTAGCGATCAGCTCCCGGACAATCTCTCCGTCGTCTTCAGATCTGGCTAACCATCTGTTACACGTAAAGTACAAGTACTTCTTTACTTCAATTCCATAAGAGTCCTCCTGTAAAGGGAGGCTCGCCAGAATGTGTGAAGCGTGCTCGTGTCTGATATCGCAGGAATAGCGATCTCACACAGGCTAACTTTCAGCTCCACTGCCACCTGCTTGGGTGATGGTAGAAGTAGGTAAATATTAGCGGTGTCCCGCCTATTTAAGGCTCGAACTAGCTCTTTCCTAGTTTACACCGGAGGCGCCATATAGAGAATTTCCTTGGATAGCTGTCACGTGACAGTCACGAGATGTCGATTGAGCGCGTTTACTGGTTGGATATATAGCGCGTGACATTGAGCTATCATGCAGACCCGATTACGCACCATATAAGGCGTAATTAAAAGCTGCATCTAGCACGTGATATTTGCAAAGCTAATTACACATCCATATAAGGCGTGATTAAGAGCTTGGAGTTGCAGTGGAGTTGCAGGGAGTTGTAATAGCGTGAAATTGGGTGGTAATTCGATGATTAGGGGTACATACAAGTAAATATTTCGTGAACTATGTTGGTATAAAGCTAACTCTGGTTTAAGAACAGTGTGTGAGGACGCGTACAGATGGCAGTGCACTGATTTGTTGTTCAGTTGGTAGAACAAAGATTTGTCCGAACCGGCTGAAATCGTTGTTACGTTGAAAACTGTCTCGATTACCTTGTTACCTAGCTAGTAACTTGGTATGAAGAGAGAGTGGAAACCAGACGAAAGTAGGACGAAGTCTCGGGGATCGGGGTTGCAGCCTACAATGGGCATGAATATATAGAGGGCCCTAGGTTGCTCCCCAGATCGGCAGTCCAATAACACATTTTCTGAAAATTTCTAATTTTCAAACTTTTCATCAGTCCTACGCCACTGCTATGTAATATTAATAAGCGCCATGAGCTGGCACAGAATTTGTTGTCTCTGATTTTCGATAAATTTGGTACCAAAAGTTGCCTCTAAGTGTGAATAATGAAAATTCACCGTGTAGCACGATAACGTCGAGCTGTATGTGGGACTCCTAACATATTGAATATTTTGAAATAATTCTTACAGGATCGTAATGAGCTTAGTCAGACGCAACTTTTAGTACCAAAATTAATTTTTGAAGCACGAAATTTTTCAAAAATTTGTTCAAAATTTCACAGATTAAAAATTCACAGATTGATAACATTTAAACTGTTCAATCTATTGACGGATGTTACTCGTCTCAATTTCTTCGAAGTAGCGCGCGCCGCTTTCTTCTCGAAATGGCCCGATGGCAAGTGCTACGAAGTAGCGCGCGCCGGGCCAGACCATTAACAATGGTCAATTCAATCTAGCATGGTCTGCTCCGCCAGGTGCCGTCATCATCCCCATAAGTGCCCCAACTCCCTCCATCAGTATCAGAAACCCCGCAAACACCACAAAGTCCCTTTCATCCATCCCCGTCTTCTTTCCTACGTTCTTGTAGCCCAGTTCCACTGGGTCCTTATCCATTATAACCATGACCAGCTAGAAAGTTAAAATATAAGAGTTTAATTATGCGGCTCAATGCCGTTTGATTGATACTATTTGAAACCATATTTAAGATGAAAACGTTACCTATTTGACCCATTTTTGCGCTCTTTTACGTTGGTAATTACGAACATAATATCACAAATATCATATTAGTATTACTATTACAAATATTACAAAGGTGTGCGTAAACCAGTGGCAGAGTGATTGTGAAAAATGGAGTTGATAACTTTTTTCGATATAAAACAGAGTTGTTTTTCTTCAGAAACTGCAAATTGAAAAGTTTCGCAATATACTATCGTCTGTGACGATAGTATTCATTTATGTCAGAATTGTGATCTTTAAAAATAAATTAAGTGTTGATCTAAGTTTTAAAATAATAAAAGATTACCAGAATTAAAAGGACTAAACAAATAGCAGACTGTAGACTGCAGAGGCCGGCTACTGAAACACAGCGCACATACCAATTCCATAAAATCACGAGTCGTGCAACTGCATGGCATGTCGATACAGTCACTCCAGTTAAGGTATATCAAATTTTCTCTTATCTCTCAACTATTATATATCATCACGAGGTTTCTGATCAGCAGATCCCGTATCTTGTTACTTCCAAACCTTGTGCTGAGTTTGGAGAAGAGTGGTATGAAGTTATATCACTGCTCGGTAGTCGGTATGAAGTTTTGTTAGACAATATGGTCCCTCGTACACAATGTGATGTAGAGTTTTTAGCAACTGCTCCTTCATGATATAATATTTTGTATCGTTTATCAAAAAAAGTCAAACTTTCTGTACGTGGTACTCCCTGTATATGGTATAATTCTAGTTTACAAAATCGTTTTATTAGTGAATATCAATTCTCGAATATCGGAGGTCTTCAAAATCAAGATAAAGTTTCGTGTAATTTTAAAATTACGTTATCAGAAGTATCAAGTAAATCTACGGCTAATTTTTAAGTTAATTTACATTACCTTTATCTTATCTCACAAACTTGGATGAGTCACGCACATCCTCCAAAGAGGGTACTTTACAAGAATTTCTCCCGTTTTCTTTAGTTATAGATTTTAATCTACCATCGCATCGATCCTGTTGCCTTTTTAATCATAAAACGTTGATGGGGGAAAACATATGAGCAGAAAACACCTTACTTTTGCCACGAGGAGATTACTGCATTGTTCTGATAGAAATGTTCTACAAAATGTTCCTAGTAATCATTGTTATATTGGCTGAACAAGGTTCCTACATTTTTAATGGACAGGGCTAAAATATCAATTAAAAGGTTAGATATTGATCAAGGTTATCAAATAAGTTAAGTACGGCTAAACGATTTTTTGAGATGTGTTCAATCCTGTGTTTAGTCGAGCGGTTTATTGCGTATAACTTCATGTATAATGTTTGAAAAGAGCGTTTTTAACAACTGGTCTATTCAGTGTGCTATTGGCTAGGATTGTGTTTAATATCAGATTTAAACGCGTTAAAATTGCCGTTAAAAACTCACGTTTTAAACAACCTTTCCATTGATATAATGGTCTGTATACCTACGGCTAACGTAACTTTATCTTATCTTACCGACTAAGATGAGAAACGCATATTCTGCAGGGAATGTAAAACGAACTTTACCAAAACACGAAATTGTGTAAGGTGGACCGTACCTATTTTGTTCCTAATTTAACATTAACAAGGAATGTGTCCTACATGTTGCCACAGTGAGATGGAACCAGCACTTAAACTGTTCAATCTAGCATGTTCTGAATAATATGTTGGCTGAATCATGAATATTAGCTGAATGGATGAAAGTGGTCACGTGGCTACCACCTTCTTAATGGACAGGGTTGTAATATCAATTTAAAAGCTGATATGACACGTAATATAATTTAACTTGATCTGTTAATCTGTTTGAAAGGCTTGCACCGCCTCCCTATTATTACCCACATCTTATTCAAATGCTTATAGTTTACATATATCGACTGTTGAGAATACTGAATAGAACATTATACATGATGACCGTTGCAATAACACGATACCGAGATTAAGATATTACATTAATGATTATAAAGATATTCTTTGAAATTTGGACTATTTTCAGTCTAATAATTTCCGGGAGCATGGCATACAAGATGGATATCGTTTGCGTATTTAATATGAAAATGTAATACTGTAATTTAATAGGTACTGCAATTTAATACTGCAATTTAGCAGTATTTTGCTAAGATTGTGTCTACCAATGCAATGGCCAACTAGTGTAACAATTTTGGCAGTTAAGAAGTTGCAAAAGTATGAACCCGCTCAGTCGAAACCAGCACCGAAGCCTCCGAAAAAAAGCAATTTCAAGTGACCGAAGTAAAATGTACATACCTCAAACAAAATTATGAAATATTACCAGTGAGAGTGAAAGAACACACTCAAACTTAATTAAAAATTACGGAATGTAAGGTAAGGCTGTGAGGGAGGGACAGAAAGAGAGAAAGAGAGAAGGGGACAGAAAGTGAGAAACTTAAGTATCATATTAGTTACAAAACCACCAATTAAACCACTTATTCAGCAGATCTAACCGATTATTTTTTGCAGCTGTATCGACCGTATCTCCGCTGGTGACTGTAAAAGTAAAGGGTGCTGTATCCAGCTCCATCCAGATACCATTCGTATCACGTGAGTAAACTTGCCCTTACATTTTTAACCTCCAGAAACAATTATTTTTTAAGCAGCTTCGAGTAGAACACGTGTAATGACATCACACATCGTGACTAGAGATTATCTTGGTAGACCGTACTAATAACAGATACAGACACTTTAACATACCACTAACTGCAAGTTTCATAACTTTCTACAGGTTTTAAGTTATCTGGAGAGAAGACTTCTCTCTCTTCAGAGAGTCCTACTACTGATATCTTCCTTGTGGAGGGAGACTTTTCGCTTGTTCAGGTAAATATCATAGACTAGGGGGAACCACTCTGTCTTGCCTTTTAAAGTTTTGCTTCGCACAATCCGATATTTTCTAGGTAGCCAATTCTCCAAAACATTAGCATAGAGAAACATGACGCCACTCCCCAGGCAATGCAGTGACCGTCGGGTCAGTCTATTATTTATATAATTTTATATTTATTTATAAAATTACAAACTAGCTCAAAGCTGGAACCTTGTTCAGGTGACGTTAGACGACAGAGCTGGCGGTGATCTGAACATTATTAAAACCTCGTCTCACTTCCACCTATCCCTGCTCAACTGGAACACCCAGGCTGTACATTCTCTCACTTTTCTCTGTCCTACTTCTGGTTAGTACTTGGGTCTTGGGTTAGCTGCTTTGTTTTGTTTCGCTAGAAACTGCTGGTAAAAACACCAAACTCTTTCCTCGCACCTTTCATCAAATTAATCGGTAAAATCTTAAAACTAATAACTTCAGTATGTTAGTCTCTAACTCTGTTCCATCAGGTCAGAAGGAAGTGTACGAAGTACTGATAACACCCTCAGAACCCGACCTAACTCCACCTCCCATCAAACTGGAGTTTTCCGAACTTATCAGCACTCTCCTCCCCACTGTCGTCCTGGGACTCCTCGTCCTTCTAATCGTCATTGGGATCGTCTTCCTAACCACCGCCAGCTACAGACGTCTCAAATCCACTTCGTCTCAGTGGGACTCGCCCCTAACTATGAACTCAATGTTAACTACTCCAGTTAAGATAGGTTCCCCGTTCAGGCCGGCGTCAGTGACAGTGACCCCTACTAGACTTAAAACACCGCTTTATACTAAACCTCGGGGGACTCCTGGGAGTATATGAGTGCATGTGCCATGTTCGCCCGCACCCTTCATCCGCAAGAATAAATGTATTATTTGTGGTGTTTTAGTCGTTATTTGAATCATTTGGTGTGGCTGGGATCGAATATTGAATATGGTGGCAGTGTGAATATTAGTTCATGTATCGTTTTCAAACTGATGCGAAGCAAATATTTCAATTTTACTGACGGTTTTAGGATTGCTTTTATTTTTATAATTTCATTTATACTGAAATTGTAGTTGTACTTACAGCTGACATGGTTCTTATTTAAATGTTGCTACAATTATTTTGATTACAAATTCTTTTATTTAGTACATTGGATTTAACAGGTGATACTCGTAAAATATTTGTTCCGAATACTACGACAAGACCGTCGACGAGTCTTGGTAGGTTATAAACCTACAACATTACTAATTACTGGAGCAAAGATCTCAGAACAAAGTTGAAATACCTTTTGTCCAGATTGGTGAGATTGATTCTGGGGACATAAACAATTTGACCAAGCCTTATATGAGGTAGTCCGTTATTTTAATAATTCGTTTCAGATCAATGCAGATAATTTTATACTTCGAAGAAATTTAGACGAGCCCAGAAACCCTTACTGGCCAGGGCCTTACTTCAAAAGTTAAAGAGATAACGATTTCCGGTTTTTTGTAACGAAAACTTCGTCTGGTTAGAGGTTATTAAACCTGAAGTGTAATCAACATTGTTCCGTACAACTCTGAATAGAGGCCCACCTTCTGCAGAGCTTATAGGCACTCCGTTTTCATCCGTAGCGATCAGCTTCCGGACGATCTCCCCGTCGTCTTCAGATCTGGCTAACCATCTAGGTTACACGTAAAGTATAAGTACTTCTTTACTTCAATTCCATAAGAGTCCTCCTGTAAAGGGAGGCTCGCCAGAATGTGTGAAGCGTGCTCTTGTCTGATATCGCAGGAATAGCGATCTCACACAGGCCAACTTTCAGCTCCACCGCCACCTGCTTGGGTGATGGTAGAAGTTAGTAAATATTAAATATCCCGCATATTTAAGGCTCAAACTAGCTCTTTCCTAGTTTACACCGGAGGCGCCATATAGAGAATTTCCTTGGATAGCTGTCACGTGACAGTCACGAGATATCGATTGAGCGCGTTTACTGGTTGGATGTATAGCGCGTGACATTGAGCTATCATGCAGACCCGATTACGCACCATATAAGGCGCAATTAAGAGCTGCTTCTAGCACGTGATATTTGCACAGCTCATTACACATCCATATAAGGCGTAATTAAGAGCAGTGGAGTTGCAGGGAGTTGTAATAGCGTGAAATTGGGTGGTAATTCGATGATTAGGGGTACATACAAGTAAATATTTCGTGAACTATGTTGGTATAAAGCTAACTCTGGTTTAAGAACAGTGTGTGAGGACGCGTACAGATGGCAGTGCACTGATTTGTTGTTCAGTTGGTAGAATAAAGATTTGTCCGAACCGGCTGAAATCGTTGTTACGTTGAAAACTGTCTCCTCGATTACCTTGTTACCTAGCTAGTAACTTGGTATGAAGAGAGAGTGGAAACCAGACGAAAGTAAGACGAATAGTGCTAAAGAGTTAGAATCTGATACTGACTGGCAACACGTAGGCAAGCGGAAAGGAGTACCAATCAAACAACCAAACAGTAAAAAGATATCGAGTTTACTTAAATCTCTAGACGTCCTGTTACAAAGTAAATTGTGTAAAGAGCAAAATAAATGTTTTGACATTTTATTCTCATACATGATGAAAACCGAATTGTTTGGTGTCTTGAAGCAGCGTTTAATTGACAGCGGAGAAGACCTAACAGATATTTTAAGTTTGGAAGAACGATCTCTATTGGATGCAGTTATCACCACTACAAGTCTATCTGATGTAAACAAACTTATGAACGAAAACACAACTATTGTCGATAAGATTCTCAAACTTTATCTGAATAAGTAGTTGGTGGAACTAACTACCTGTACTAGAACACCATTAACGTGCAACTGTTATACAATGATTTATGTACCCAATCTTACTCTTGATGATTTCAATTTATGATTATAATGTTGACAACAACAAATTATCAATTAAACGGTAGTTTTATTTGTCTCTCGAAATTTATCAAATTTATAACAAGCAAATTTAATAGTTAATAATAGTGAATGGTATGGAGCCTTAGCTACTCCCTAGACTCGACTTTGAACCCTGAACCTTTTGTGCAGAAGACGGATGTTCTAACCACTAGGCTACCTAACAGTTGTTATATCTTAAAGGGTGAAAATGTGGTTCAGATACTGTAGCTATTGCTTAAATGTCAGAAAATTGATGATAAGACTTGTAATTTCCAGGAGGTCGAGCGATGGTAACCCTACACCACATTTCGTTATGTCACCCTCTGCTTATTTGGAGTGGTGACTGGACCGGGGTAAATCGTGAAGAATCATTTGACCAGTAATCAAATAACAGGAACCTGCTTGGCAACCGTTTAATCTGACTTTAGATCCTTTAGACAGGATTATTGAATTATTCATCATGACGTTCTGACGGGTAATCAAGTGACTCCTGTCACGTGATCTCGAGGTTCAATAACATTCATGTCACATGATGCTTAAGCTAAACACGTGACCAGTGATCAAGTAACAGGAACCTGCTTGGCAACCGTTTAATCTGACTTTAGATCCTTTAGACAGGATTATTGAATTATTCATCATGACGTTCTGACGGGTAATCAAGTGACTCCTGTCACGTGATCTCGAGGTTCAATAACATTCATGTCACATGATGCTTAAGCTAAACACGTGACCAGTGATCAAGTAACAGGAACCTGCTTGGCGACCGTTTAATCAGACTTTAGATTCTTTAGTCGGGATTATTGATTGATTCATCATGACGTTCTGGCTCCTCATTGGTCAATTATCTTGTCACGTGACCTTGACATTTAATTAACGAGCTTGTCACATGGTTACATGACATGTGATCTGTCACGTGACCCTTGTGACGTGCTGTCACGTGACCTGAGGGCGTGCTGTGAGTGGCTGGGGGCTACTTGATGGCGGGCCTTCACAACTTACCATCTACTAATTTGGATTTAAGAATAAGGGTAAGGTTTGTTTTATTGTTGTTGTAGCTGAGCTTACTGTCTGATTGTAGCTTTTGTAGGCTGCTATAAACCCCTCTGGGATACTGCTAAGAAACGGGATAGATAATAAGTTGCGGTGTTATTTTGTAAATAATCCCTGAACAGTTTTAACGATCCTACTCCTTATTCTCTTAACCGGTTTGATTTATTGAGTGAAACTTCGTCTTTGTCTGCACGTGCAAGTCCTTATTATCGTATCATCGGTTGTTTTCATTGCGTTGAGTTACATTTCATCGGCTGTATCCTAGGTCGGGATAAACAGTCCTGTTTTTTCAATATCAAAACTGACATTTATTAACAATATATCTACTGTAGCCTAAAGCAAAGAAGATAAAATGAATATAGCAATAGCTATAATAGTGGCAATGGTGCCGGTGGCACGAGCTCAAATTCAATCGATTACTTGTTGGAAATGCCTGGACGTAAATTTGAAATCAGGGGTTAAAAATACCTGTACCAAATACAGCGTTCAACAGGTATAGCCAGTTAACTGCTAGCGTATGGATTTATTCCACTCAATTCTATTTATAATAGGAGGTCGTTTACATATTACGTAATCAGCCGAGGGGGAGGTGGTTTCCAAATGATTACGCTAGTGTAATCTTGATACAATAGCTATGTGTAAAACTGATTACGGAGGGGGGGGGGGGATGGTAAAAAAAGTGATTGCGTAATATGTGAACGACCCCTGGCCCTATAGTATGTTACCATCTAAGCATCTAGGGCCAAAATTTAGTTGGGTATTATTTATTCGAATGTATGTTTATTGATTGATTTATATGTGAAAATATGGTGGTAAATAATAAAATTGTCTTTTCTCAGTGTCCGGCCGGAAAAGACGTGTGCGCATCTCTTGCCACGACCTTCTATGAGGGTAGCAGGTTCAGCTATATGAAAAGTTATAAATGCATGAAGGCGGCAGATGTGTCATTAGGATTGGATAAATGTAGGGGATTAAAATCTGAATTTGAAAATACTTTGGACGATTTGAAGGATTATGCCTGTGCAATTGAAACATGCAACTTTGGCTTGTGTAACGAACTTATCGTACCAGGTAGGATATATAAATTTGTCAGTATTTATTTGACCAAAACCCATAATCATGGGTAGAGTGGACCGCAACATGCAGTGTCTCTCTCTCTCCCAAGCAAAAGGAAATGATATTAATTCGAATAATTACCGTCCGCAAATGCAAATTGATTATACCGAGAATGAAATCGGTCGCTCGCTTTTCCCATTCATTTGCAATTGTAATAGATTAAAAATATTTGGGCGTGTCCTCACATGTGCAACTTTTTGATTTTCACTGTACAATCAGTAACAAAATGTACCCTATAAAAAATATACAGTTAGTGACTAACTAATTAGAGTTAGTGACTACCTAATTAGAGTTAGTGACTACCTAATTAGAGTTAGTGACTACCTAATTAGAGTTAGTGACTGACTAATTAGAGTTAGTGACTGACTAATTAGAGTTAGTGACTAACTAATTAGGGTTAGTGACTGACTAATTAGAGTTAGTGACTAACTAATTAGGGTTAGTGACTAACTAATTAGGGTTAGTGACTAACTAATTAGAGTTAGTGACTGACTAATTAGAGTTACATAATGGTACTAATTATACCCCACCTAAAAATGGCGCACCTGATTTTGTGTTTTAGAGCCCAATATTTGGACCCCCAACTACAAGTGATGTCAAAAACGCGAATTAAATAGGTAATAATTATTTTAGTCTTTTGAGTCTTGACACCATTTTAAGGTTATACGGGTTCCTGCTATAATGCCTGAGGTAATGGAAATATTTTCTTCCAGGGAGTTGGAGCAAGAACGCTGGTAAATATCTGAGCGGCTACAGCGCAGGAACCGTCAAATACGACAGTCTTCTGAAGGCTCAGAGCGAATGTCTCAAACGATCCGGTCAGTTCAAACTTGCAGTTTATTTGATGATAAATTAGAAAATTAATCGATTATCTTGAAATTTAATACACAAAAGATATGCAAAATCACTGGTAAAATATCAATTCACCTTAAATGCCACCTTCTCCTACTAGACTGTGGAGGTATCACATACGAGACCGCATCCAAAAAGTTCACTCTGCGAAAAGGAATCGACCTCAAGGACAGTTCCTCGGGTGAAATCTCCTGGATGGCTATCTCAAGCGATGATGAAGGTAACCAATTATTTTTGGCGCTAGATAGCGCCAGCTATTGATAGGTAACACCCAGTCAAAAAAGTTTTAGTTGTATATCTTTTACGGTTTTTGCGGAAAGTCGCGTTAAAGTTGATGCCGTGGTGTCAGTAAAATGGTACGAATCCATCCATATATCCATATATATCGTCTCGCTTTAAATATAATAAGATGTTAAGGAATACAAGGAATACAAGGAATACAAATTTAAAATCTTGAGCTACAATAGTGACTGTTAAGATAATAACAATATCATAAGATTTGAATTTATTATATTAATATAACTTAAACTAAAAGTGAAAAATAAAGATTTTGACAAAAAATATTTTGTTTACAGTCGCCTTGATAATGCTGTAATGCTTGTATTGAGCCAGGCCACTTTGCACTCGTTGTTGCGCGAAAAGAAACAAAAGCGCTGGTACAGTGATTTTCAGTGTTCATGTATTGGCCAGAGAGTCGACGAATTTCTTGCGGTTGTTAAAACACGTAGTGGCAAATCTAGCAACGACTCTCGTGAGGTGGACTTGACTTTCGTTTGTGATTAATTCAATGATTTCACTGTTGTTGCTGATGAATTTGAGGACGTTTGCTCCAGGGATGACAGTGTGAACAGAATAAGATGTCGCAGATGGTTTGATTGGATTTGATATGAGTGACTGGATCTTGTCTACAGTCTAGGACTTTTCGCCTCGATGCAGCGTTAAGATCACAATGGTTAAGGAAGTGATCTTCATTCTCAATAATACCAGAAGCTAAGACTAAATTGCACCAGGAGCATATTCGCTCATCACGAGAAGTTTGATTATATCGGCCAAGTTCAATTTCGAGTCGATGTGCACTGATCTGCAGTCTTGTGATATTAGCACGGTCTGCATATTTAATGACACTGTCTAGGTAATACTCTTTGTTAAATTTGGATTTTAGGTCACGATAGAATTCTAATTTCCGAGAAGTGTTGATACAGGACCCCCAATATTCTCTAAAGCTACATTTCAAAGTTTTAGTAATGACGTGTGGTGTGAATATTTTACTCCAGATGGGTTGTGTTGATTGCGGAGGAATTCGTTTCTTGAAACCGTTGTGAATAAGAAAGTCCTCTTTTGGTGGTTTTGAGATACTCGGGTTTCTTTCGAAAATTAACTTGGAGTGATTGTTTTTTGTGTGCGGTAGGCTGTCATGTGACATGATCGGTAGAGAAACATGGGTCTAGCGCGAGGACAGGCTCCAAACCCCTGTACCAGTCCAATTTCATGTTCATCTGTTAATGAGGAGTAAACACACTCAATTAGGGTTATTGGATACAATTAACAATTCGCATTAGTAAAAATCACCACTAATTAGGGTTAACATATGTAATTATACACAAAATCAGGTGCGCTATTTTTAGGTGGGGTATAAGTACCATTCTCTCGTGATCAGTGTGTAACTGTCCATAATGTAAAAGTTGTTATCTCACTCTTGTTTACGCTAATATAATGCATTAAATAGGGGTGCAATAACTGGGAGGGAGATAACTATTGTTATCACATTATAATAATATATGCAGTGATGTAACTGCTTATTATGTATACTACAAAATTTGGACCCCGGCCAAGTGGTGTCAAAAACGCGAATTGAATAGGTAATAATTATTTTAGTCTCTTGAGTCTTGACACCAATTCAACACTACTATATAACAAATAATTTGAGCATGAATACGAAGTTGTTACTTTGAAACGTCGTTTATCCTAACAGTGCAGTATCATTTGTCGCAAGAAATCAGAATAATCAGAAATTATTTGGAACTCCCAAAAACTGTCTATATAATACCTGAGGTAATGGAAATATTTTCTTCCAGGGACTTGGAGCAAGAACGCTGGTAAATATCTGAGCGGCTACAGCGCAGGAACCGTCAAATACGACAGTCTTCTGAAGGCTCAGAGCGAATGTCTCAAACGATCCGGTCAGTTCAAACTTGCAGTTTATTTGATGATAAATTAGAAAATTAATCGATTATCTTGAAATTTAATACACAAAAGATATGCAAAATCACTGGTAAAATATCAATTCACCTTAAATGCCACCTTCTCCTACTAGACTGTGGAGGTATCACATACGAGACCGCATCCAAAAAGTTCACTCTGCGAAAAGGAATCGACCTCAAGGACAGTTCCTCGGGTGAAATCTCCTGGATGGCTATCTCAAGCGATGATGAAGGTAACCAATTATTTTTGGCGCTAGATAGCGCCAGCTATTGATAGGTAACACCCAGTCAAAAAAGTTTTAGTTGTATATCTTTTACGGTTTTTGCGGAAAGTCGCGTTAAAGTTGATGCCGTGGTGTCAGTAAAATGGTACGAATCCATCCATATATCCATATATATCGTCTCGCTTTAAATATAATAAGATGTTAAGGAATACAAGGAATACAAGGAATACAAATTTAAAATCTTGAGCTACAATAGTGACTGTTAAGATAATAACAATATCATAAGATTTGAATTTATTATATTAATATAACTTAAACTAAAAGTGAAAAATAAAGATTTTGACAAAAAATATTTTGTTTACAGTCGCCTTGATAATGCTGTAATGCTTGTATTGAGCCAGGCCACTTTGCACTCGTTGTTGCGCGAAAAGAAACAAAAGCGCTGGTACAGTGATTTTCAGTGTTCATGTATTGGCCAGAGAGTCGACGAATTTCTTGCGGTTGTTAAAACACGTAGTGGCAAATCTAGCAACGACTCTCGTGAGGTGGACTTGACTTTCGTTTGTGATTAATTCAATGATTTCACTGTTGTTGCTGATGAATTTGAGGACGTTTGCTCCAGGGATGACAGTGTGAACAGAATAAGATGTCGCAGATGGTTTGATTGGATTTGATATGAGTGACTGGATCTTGTCTACAGTCTAGGACTTTTCGCCTCGATGCAGCGTTAAGATCACAATGGTTAAGGAAGTGATCTTCATTCTCAATAATACCAGAAGCTAAGACTAAATTGCACCAGGAGCATATTCGCTCATCACGAGAAGTTTGATTATATCGGCCAAGTTCAATTTCGAGTCGATGTGCACTGATCTGCAGTCTTGTGATATTAGCACGGTCTGCATATTTAATGACACTGTCTAGGTAATACTCTTTGTTAAATTTGGATTTTAGGTCACGATAGAATTCTAATTTCCGAGAAGTGTTGATACAGGACCCCCAATATTCTCTAAAGCTACATTTCAAAGTTTTAGTAATGACGTGTGGTGTGAATATTTTACTCCAGATGGGTTGTGTTGATTGCGGAGGAATTCGTTTCTTGAAACCGTTGTGAATAAGAAAGTCCTCTTTTGGTGGTTTTGAGATACTCGGGTTTCTTTCGAAAATTAACTTGGAGTGATTGTTTTTTGTGTGCGGTAGGCTGTCATGTGACATGATCGGTAGAGAAACATGGGTCTAGCGCGAGGACAGGCTCCAAACCCCTGTACCAGTCCAATTTCATGTTCATCTGTTAATGAGGAGTAAACACACTCAATTAGGGTTATTGGATACAATTAACAATTCGCATTAGTAAAAATCACCACTAATTAGGGTTAACATATGTAATTATACACAAAATCAGGTGCGCTATTTTTAGGTGGGGTATAAGTACCATTCTCTCGTGATCAGTGTGTAACTGTCCATAATGTAAAAGTTGTTATCTCACTCTTGTTTACGCTAATATAATGCATTAAATAGGGGTGCAATAACTGGGAGGGAGATAACTATTGTTATCACATTATAATAATATATGCAGTGATGTAACTGCTTATTATGTATACTACAAAATTTGGACCCCGGCCAAGTGGTGTCAAAAACGCGAATTGAATAGGTAATAATTATTTTAGTCTCTTGAGTCTTGACACCAATTCAACACTACTATATAACAAATAATTTGAGCATGAATACGAAGTTGTTACTTTGAAACGTCGTTTATCCTAACAGTGCAGTATCATTTGTCGCAAGAAATCAGAATAATCAGAAATTATTTGGAACTCCCAAAAACTGTCTATATAATACCTGAGGTAATGGAAATATTTTCTTCCAGGGACTTGGAGCAAGAACGCTGGTAAATATCTGAGCGGCTACAGCGCAGGAACCGCCAAATACGACACTCTTCTGAAGGCTCAGAGCGAATGTCTCATACGATCCGGTCAGTTCAAACTTGCAGTTAATTTGATGATAAATTAGAAAATTAATCGATTATCTTGAAATTTAATACACTAAGGAATGCAAAATCACTGGTAAAATATCAATTCACCTTAAATGCCACCTTCCCCTACTAGACTGTGGAGGTATCACATACGAGACCGCATCCAAAAAGTTCACTCTGCGAAAAGGAATCGACCTCAAGAACAGTTTCTCGGGTGAAATCTCCTGGATGGCTATCTCAAGCGATGATGAAGGTAATCAATTATTTTTGGCGCTAGATAGCGCCAGCTATTGATAGGTAACACCCAGTCAAAAAAGTTTCAGTTGTATATCTTTTACGGTTTTTGCGGAAAGTCGCGTTAAAGTTGATGCCGTGGTGTCAGTAAAATAGTACGGATCCATCCATATATATCGTCTCGCTTTAAATATACATAGTAAGATGTTAATGAGGAGTAAACACACTCAATTAGGGTTATTGGATACAATTAACAATTAGTATTAGCAAAAATCACCACTAATTAGGGTTAACATATGTAATTATAGTTATACACAAAATTATTATGTTTCAATTATAAAAGTGCAACTCTCTTATCAGTCGAGAAGCGGGTTTGAAGACGGTAGACGGCGAATTGTAAGATAATGTTCAACACCAGCTGTTTCCTGCAGACGCTTACTGCGTTCTTCTTATCAGCCGGGGCTTCATACTCAACAAATATGTTGTTTATTATAGTCAGTTATGGTAAAAATCAGGTCAAAACCTGCATCATAGTAGAGGGCTGAACATTTTTTGGGGGCTCTCAAAGGTCTTTAAAACCGAAAAAACTTCGGAGCCCTAAAATTCAGACTGGGAAAATCGCCAATTTGGCCACGCCCATTTTTTGCACGACCAGTCGATTGGCAAGGTTCTTAAAGCTCTAAAACACTTATTTTTTGCAAAAAAATAAGTCAGGTGCTGAAGGATTGTATCAAAACCATACAATAGCATATTAAGCCCTATCGATAGCCATAAACCGCATCTTGAAAATTGCAACGTGAAAATTTGCAATAAAAAGAAAAAACGAATTACCAAATTGGTAATTGTATTGGTGTAGCCAAAATTACCGATTTTTGCCAATTTCTCTACAAATAAGCATGTTAGAGCATATAATGATTCATAAGTCTTAGATAAATGTGCTCATTGCGAATATTTGTCAATATTGGACCTGTCGTACAAAAAACATGGGTTTAGATACAAGATACCAAACATTTCAGGAAATCGATTTTGAACAATTTTATTAATCGCGACTGAAAAATTTGGCGCGTAAAATACTATTTCTTTAGTTTTTGCAAAACAATAAGTGTTTTAGAACCTTGCCAATCGATTCGTCGTGCAAAAAAAACATAGATTTAGACCCCTAACATGTTAGGAATGACATTATATATATTTCTCTCAAATTGTGCCTGGACATTTTGGTACTAAAAATGGGCTTGGCCAAATGGGCGATTTTCCCAGTCTGAATTTTAGGGCTCCGAAGTTTTTTCGGTTCTTAAGACCTTTGAGAGCTCGCAAAATCAGCCCTCTACTATCATGCAGGTAAATTGCCATAACTGACCGGACTAGAACACATCTACTGAAAAAGCATGCTTGAAACGTTTTGACTTGAATATCTGGCAATCTTTTTAGATATTCAGTCAGATATTCAAGTCAAAATGTTAAAAAATACCTTCTTACTCTTTTATTGTGTTGTCCTCGTATCTCAATAAAGTTGTATTATTTAGCAAACAAAGTTTTGTATTCCAACAAACATCTTCTCTAATGTAAACTATAATGTGTGTCGTATAAGTACTTCAGAGTGCATCATAAAATAAAATAATAAGCAGTTACATCACTGCTTATAATGCAATAACATTATTTTCACCACGGTGAAAATAGTTTTATCCACCGCGGAGCCGAGTTGGATAAAACGAGTTATATCCCGAGCCTGCGAGGGATATAACTCATTGTTATCGCATTATAAGCAGTGATGTAAATGCATTCTCTGATGATCTACGAAATGATGCTAGCGAATGCAGCATTTACATCGGAAATTAACGACCGATAATATTACTACATATAACATTCCAGAGTCAAACTTTCTAGAGGACACATCCTTATCTCTTAAAATTGTTACAGGTCGCTGAGATGTTGCTAATTATTTTAAATTGGTCAAATAAGCTCAGTGAAGCTCACACTCACACAAAACTTGCCACACATGTTTGACTACTTGTTATTGACATTCTGTAAAATTTGGAAGCAAAAATATTTATCAGAACATAAGTTGTGGCACTTTCTGTTTTTAAAATAATTAGCAACATCTCAGCGACTAAGGATGGACCAGGGAGATAACAATAGTTATCTCCCTCCTATTTACCTGTTAATCACAGCCTAAATGTAGTACCAGGGAGATATTAACAATAGTTATCTCCCTCCCAGTTATTGCTCCCCTATTTAATGCATTATATTAGCGTAAACAAGAGTGAGATAACAACTTTTACATTATGGACAGTTACACACTGATCATGAGAGAATGATATTTATTCCCCGTCACCGAGACTTTAACAAGCAGTGTCACTGAGAAAAAAAAAATGTTCCGTAAACTTTGTCGACCGAGTTGTTTCTCTTCCTATCCTGAAGGCAAAAAGTAGAGAATAAATATTTGTGTTCAGATATGCTATAGGCATAGCCTAGGAGTAGGAGGTCACCAAATGTTGCAATATTGTCAACAATTATAACGACTTCTTCAAAATATTCGATGTTGTAAGGTCCACGGCACACTGCACTTTTCCCAAAATATTAATGCGTCGAAAGTTAGCAAATTATTCGGGTTCTTAACTGTTGAAATTTGGATTTTGGGTTGACCACCAGCCATGCCTGAGACTTACCTCAACAATGTGGTCTCTGTTACTGTTAGTGTTAAAGTAAGGTTTTTCTCGAAAAGGAATGTAATGACTAATGCTGGTTTCAGCTGAGCCCCCACGTTACCCTTATAGCCGAACGTGCTCGTAAAGTTGCTGCTTGGGTTCTGAGTGCGTTTAAAACGAGGAACAAAGTCACCATGCTGACCATTTAGAAACCGCTCATCAGAAACCATCTCGAGATAAATCGCTCGCCCAAATTTAAAGAAAATTCTTGTGAAAAGGCCCTTTGGGTATGAAATTTATATGAATCGGTGTATTTTTGGACGCTGATTCCGAATCACCCCCCCATGACGTAGGGTAAAAATGCTTCCCTGGAGAGTTATGGGCAAAAAACCGTTTTGGTCACGTGACAGGTTAGTAAAACATGAATTCGATTGTTTAGGGCTCGCGGGTTAGGGTTGTGGTACTGGTAAGGGTTATGGATAGCTTCGGGGTTATGGTTAGGGTTAGAGTTGCAGGATTCCGATTAGGTTTTATGTAGAACTGTTTTTTACGGCTGCAAAACCATAAAAACCAAAGTCACGTGAAATTTTTGGGCGCGAGCGAATTAGTATTACTATTAGTAAGAGCCCTTACTTATTTCACATGTGATTTCAATCCAATGCAACTGTTTGACCATTGACGTATAAATATAATACGTCAATGGTGTTATAATAACCAGAAAATGACGTTATAATAACCAGAAAACATTAGAAAATGGGTTCTATTTTTGAGGATTTTAATGGAGGACAAAGTTCAAAGTTGAGCGATGAGATTTAAAAAGGGCGTGAATCGAACTTGGAACCGAGTAAAAGAAATTATTTGACTTAGAGTGATAGCACTAAAAAAACTCACGTTTCTGTTAGTGTTGATTGCACTATCTGATATATTATCAATGTTGGCTGATCTTATTGGCCGATCTTTTAAAATGAACTGACCCCACGCGACTCGGGCAACGTTTCATTTATTTACTGTTTATCTGCGGTCAGTATGCAGTATTTTGATTTCGAAGAAATATAGACATACCACTATAATAATTATATCATTGATCATTGGTAGATGACGATATCTGATATTATGATATCATTATCTACTTTCTACTTTTGAAAGAGGATGCATTATTTAACATGCGAACGGCGAACCGTCCGTTTATGACGTTAAATCGCCTGAACTTTGATTATTTTACTGTGTATACTTATAGCTAGGCTTTAATAACACTATAACACTAAATTAATTGAAAAACAGCATGTCATAGTAAACAAAAATTTAAAATTCGATCCTGAAAATTACATCGATTTTCGCATTCCGGATTTCAGATCTTAAATGAAATTGAACAAGCAAGGAGTTAAATCATTTTCAAAACTATGCACTTTCGCACATGACACGCTTCCTTGAATCCCATTCTGCATTCGTTAGTTTAAACGCTGAGTATTACTATAATGTTATGGTTTTAAGTTTCTAATTTTGGTTATAAATATATGCAGCCAGCTCGACGGCTTTCATTATATTATTACCCCTTATTTTCTATAACTGGTCTCTAAGTCTAATTAATATTATTAGTCGGGGCTAGTATCCAGTATTTAATGGTGCGGGTATGGACATTTACCCTTCTTTTAGCGATTAAAGTAGCCTACATCGAGGCTTGCAGTTGCTCCAACGAACAGAAACTTACCTTCCTGCACGAACTCAACGCAGAGCAGAGACATATCGGCGGTAAGTTTTCTTATCGGCGGGGTAAATTGCCTATTGCCATTGGTAGCCCTACGATCTCCACTCACTCGGAGTTGTCCTGTGATAAACTTATTGTGCCATCTCATAAATCATTGGAAAGAGCATAGGAATATGAACAACTCTATAAGTTATATATATTTAAGTAAATCCCTATAACCACAGGTTTACTAGCAAGAGTCCAGAATAGCTTCCAAAGATATCTCAACTACAAAGAACTAACTGAACATCTACTGACAATAGCTGCTCCAGATCTAGAGGAACTGTTAACAGAGGGCTCCAGGTTCGCTGAGACCATACTGGACAACCAATCCGCTGCTGCTCAGGTCTTCAACTTGCACGTGACCCTGCCAGAGAGGGTGAGACTGGTGGTCCATGCGGGTCAGACCCTTCATAAACTTAGAGCGCTAGAACGTGCTATGTGCGGGGCTGGCACTAGGCCAGTTTCTCAGCTGAACAATGTAGAGGATATCATGTCTAGCTTTATTAAGTATAAAATACATCTTACGAGTCTGCTTATGGTCTACAACTGTAACTGAAGTAGTTTTGATCGTAGGATACCCTTTTTTTGGGATTGTCGTTTTTAATCTATTAATTTTGGACATGTGTTTGATTTTTGGCAATAATTGCTCAGTTGTTGGTAAATATAATGGGCGTGTTGCTTGTACTCACTGTACTCGTTGAGACAACAACGGAGATTATCTATTGTGTCGCAATTGTGTTCAGCTGTGTAAAATTTGATTCCATTCTATTCTATTCTAAGTTCTAAACTACCCCTTAAAATATAATGAGAATGTAGATTCATCAATTTTATCAGCAAACAACAAAATAAATGCGTTCGAAAACAGTATACAACATACATAATAGATACTCAAAGTTTAAACCTTAAAATAAAAGTAAATGGAGTTGAAAATAAACATACCACGTCCAAGAAAATATTCGATTATTGCACCAAAGGACCGTTCACATATTACGCCTAGGGAGAAAAGCTTGCGCTAGTGTAATTTCTGCGTCAGTAGCTACGTGTCAAGACGGGGGAGCATGGGGTCTGAAAGTTCAAAATATGGCTTACAGATATGTGAATATATGAACGATCCCTAATAATAATAGAATTTCGATAGTGAAATCTCAAGGTGTTACAAATCCCGGAAACTCATATAACTTGTCTTCCCAATACTGGAATCCCGTTGTGGACGTGTTCAGGGAGTCACTTTGCAGGAACTTAGTGTGGGAGTTTAATGATACTGAAATAAAGGAAATGATCAAATGCTGTTATATCATATTGTTCTTATTTGCTAGACACCGGCACAGTGCTGTGAATTTAAAAAACAGCCTAAAGAAAATAGACAAAATTTGCTCAACAAAATAATTAGTAAGAACGTGGAAATAATACGTGGAAATAAAATAAGAGAAGTAACGGTACCTTGGGGTTGCCCCAGGAGTTGTCCTGGATACAGAGGTTAATGTAAAGATGGGTAGCGACTAGCCCGACCAGCATTGTTACCAGCACGTTAATGGAGAGTATACCAAACGAGGACACGTGGAACAGTGTACCTAGCAGTCTGAGAATGGGAATAGTTAGGATTACTAAAGTTACGTGGAACAGTGTACCTAGCAGTCTGAGAATGGGAATAGTTAGGATTACTAAAGTTACGTGGAACAGTGTACCTAGCAGTCTGAGAATGGGAACAGTTAGGATTACTAAAGTTACGTGGAACAGTGTACCTAGCAGTCTGAGAATGGGAATAGTTAGGATTACTAAAGTTACAGGAACAGTGTACCTAGCAGTCTGAGAATGGGAACAGTTAGGATTACAAGAATTGCAGGAACGTGATGATCGCGCAGGCCATCTACACATTATGTAGGTGAAAGTTCATAATTTGGCCCATTAACCATTTAGGCCCAGTGGCGTAACTTAGGGCCCCGCAGACCCCGCTGTGCGGGGGGGGGGGGGGGGGGGGGGGGGGGGGGGGGGCGCCGTATAAGGGGGGCGCAATTTTCCTGAATTTTAGGCCCTTTCACTGAAAAAACGCCTTGTTTGTGTATTTCCCTGTCCAATTTAGCGTTCGGCCGACGCGAAAAAAATATTTGGGGTACCCTTTTTTGCTTCAGGGGGCGCAAAAAGCTGTAGGGGGGCGAGAAAAAAAGTACCCGACCTTTTTTATTTTTTCTTTTTTTTTTAGGGACAAAAAATTTTAGGGGGGCGCTTTTCGTCACTCAGCGGGGGGGCGCCAACAAGCAAAGTTTCGCCACTGTTTAGGCCTGCCTTGAAATTATATGATCCGAAAAATTGCACAGATCTTACTGGGAATTTGAGCAAACCCTATAACTCTAATTCATAAGATGTTTGTGCAATTTTTGACAATAAATATGCCATATGCGAGTTATTCAAGGAAATCTAAGTAAACTATAGGTAAAAATATAATATTAATCATAAGCTAAAATGTACTAATCTTTGTATTCTAAATGGGGAAAAAGAAGAAACATTGTCAGTCAGTCGAGAAAATTGTCAGTCAGGCTATATGGCAGCTTTGTAGATGTTGTAACTATGCTAGTAGTGGTCCCAGGCTTGCGACTGGAATTGCGGTGTTAAATCGATTTAATGGTACCAACGATCCACCTCCCACTTGTTGTTTGGTACTTAGCATTAATAGTGTTAGCTGTGTGGATAGTGACTAGTGGATTCTAGTCCAGAGCGCGTGAAAGAATAGTCACATCAATTAGTCCGAAAATGCGTGCGCTCCAGACCTTTTGATAATATTAAGTTTTTGCGCGTTACGTTAAGTTAGTGAATCCGGATTATTTGAGACAGGTGGGGCAACTTTCTGAACATAGTGTCACTTTACAAGATAACATCGCAGCAGTGGCTTTTCAAATCCTACGGACGTCTGCACTCTAACTCTCTACTTTAAGTAGTTTGCTAGTTTAGTTTGATAGTTGGTGACGAAGTGAGAGTCTCCACTCAGTTTGCTAGTTTGCACGATAATATTAAATGTTTAACAATTTTCTGTGTGATGGAAAGTTCGGTCTTACCGACTACTGCATACACCGTTATGACTAACGGAAAGACGATCTTGAAGAATTTGAAGTTACTATCATCTGACAAATTTGAGAAAGGAGCAGAACTCTGCATCCTACAATATCAAAGACTCAGAAAAGCACTCATTCAGTTAATCGCGTTTGGTACCTTAACCGACTCTCACTCACTTGTCTTGGGGCTTGTCAACAAGTGTTGGAGAGTCATACACGCCTGCTTGTTCCTGATTCTAGTCAAAGCAACATTCATTACCGTCTCCTCTCTGTACTCCAGGACGGAAAAGGACAATCTACGAAGAATACTTCAAAAACCAAAATGATTCTCTTATCGTTATCAAACTGGAATTCTGTCTACGAGACTCCAGTTGAGGATATCTGGATACAGCCCATATTCCTCATGCATGAATCACCTTCAGCGTCTGACGACGACATAATATCATACGTCAATCTAGTGGCTCTTCCCGGGAGTGTCGAAGATGACGAACAAATTGATTATAACGATTGCAATTGGTCGTCCCAAGGTGAAACACGTACCCCGGTAAAGCCTACGTTTTCATTACCTTCGAACGGTAGGAGGAAAAAAGATTTAAGACAATCGGAACCATCTTGGACTCATTTCGAAGATCTTTTCAGTGGGACTAATTCTAGCTTTATCCCGCTTATAAGCATGCACCCAACAGTATGGTGAAGAGATGAAGTTCGCAAAGTCTAGAAAAAATAGACAAGATCGAGGACTACCAAGACTATTCCTGTCTAGAATTGGATCATACTCTCACGTCGGAGACCAGAAACAAAGCAGACTCCATGAATGAAGGGCGGCCGTGTTGTAGGACGAGGACTCCCAAAACGAAGATGGATCAAGAAAAACAGCTGATCAAACACTAGCATTTCATCTACTATATCATTTTTAATTGTATTTATATTATATTATTGTATTATCACAAAACGTTAAAAAAAGCGAAAAACACGGATGTATATCTCAAAAAACACAAAAAAAGAGATATATCCCATAAAACCAAAAAAATATTTTCGAAACTTCCTTATCACTTTCCGAGATAAGACCCGAATTTGTAGCTTTATTTGTCCTAAAATTAAATACAACCACTTAAAGTTGTACAACAATTTTCCATATTGAATTATATAATATTGCGCGATTAGAAATTTGTTGCTCTGGTAAAAATTGATCCGATACAATTACAAATGCGGATTTGAAATTTGAAGTTTCACTGTACAGACTAGTTTCTCAATGGCTTGACCGTACATCTTGTTCGGCTGATATTCGCGAACATAAAGCAGCTTAACGCGAAGGTCAAAACTTACTCAAGGAGGGTTTGTTTGGAGCTGCAGAGGAGAAGCAGGGATATTATCAGGGGGAGCACAGACTTCTCTATGTTGTTCCTCGTCCACATCCAAATCAACATCGCCATTATTATGTGATGAGCCTGGTAGAGAAAAGAACTGTAAATTCGAGTAGCACTTATCTCGTTGATACAATTTATCTTGTTGATACTTTTAACAGTTGATTAAATCCGAATGACACAAAAGCAAATCAACAGAGAAGTTTATTACATATATTCAACAGAAAAAAAGTAAAGAAAATAAAACGAACCAAGCTGATGTTAGCCTCGAAACTAAGTTGGATATACTTCCAGCTGAATTCGATACCGCGTGCTCCGACCCAAAGAGGAAGGAGCCTCATGCTGATCAGCTCAGCCATGGCCCATCCTGGTGACAAGAACAATGTTAGATCTTGTGTCAAGCAAAGGGGGAATCTTTTGGTTCCATAAGTGGGTTATGAATACTAATGCAACGAAGGCTCTACGTTAAATCTTATAATGTTTTTAATATCTTTAAGTTAACAAAAGTTCAAGAACGTACCGACTCCAGCGACCAATATTTTGAGATCACCTCTCCCAATCTGTTGAGATATAATGACGAAGAGTCCGATAAGATCAAACAGCTCCACTGCTCCCTTCATGAGCTCTCCGTGAAGGTCAATCTTCCCCACTGGTACTTCGTAGGTGGGGAAGAATGTTGCCAGGATTATCATCTGCATACAGAAAAATGAGTACAAACTTCAATAAATTTACATATGTATGTTTTTTTAATATAATAAAATACACAGGCTCCCCTGCAGATATTTTAAAACTAAGTAGCTCTACACAGACATTTAAGGAAAGATATCCGATATTAACCCAAGAGGTGAGCAGAGCTAGATTAGCAAGACATTCTCACCTTGCATAGCTGTGTCAAACAGTATACACCTCCGGCTTTCACACATGGCCAAAACGAACTGTACTCTGATCTGAAATACAAAATTTATTTGTATAAAATCAAGGAATATATTGGAACACTGAAGATAGTAAATTGTGTGTAGAATTCAAGCTAAACTAATTATGATAATTGAATAATCTTAATTTTCGATTAAATAAATTAGCAACAGATTAAGTAATCTAAGTAAATAGTTAACAGATTGAGTATAATCTAATTTATACTCACAGTTTAGAGTTCTTGTACACTATGAGGTAGGGGAAATATGCCAGAGCAAAGCAGTTACCAAAATGGAACAGGGTCATTGCTAATCCCCTAAAAGAAGGTTAAAGATTAAAACAATGTTCTCAAGAAATTAGATATAGCATTTCTTTTGGCAAGTAATTAAGCAAAGTGATCCAATTATTTTTAATACTTTCAACACTACTATATAACAAATAATTTGAGCCTGATGAAAGTGTAGCACACTGAAAGCTCGCGTTTCCTCCTAAACAGTAGTTTCACTTGTCCTACCTTGTCTCTACTACCGGATATTATCCCTAAAATCATTATCTGATCCAATTACGTATGAAATGAGTATGAACAAGAAGGTTTACATAGAAAAGGTTGATGGTTCAATTGTCAAGTAAAATTTGAAGTTTATTTTAAATTGTGAAGAGAATATTTGCTAACGAATTACATCATGTTGGAGCTCCCAAAACCTTGGAAGTGATTCTATTGGATAGAAGTAATGAAAGGACAGAAATCAGAGTTGTGAATTCTGCTGTTCGGAAATGGTTATCTTACTTTAATATACTGGAAATCTTTAATATACTGGAAATCATATAGATGAAGTGGTAAAGAAACTCCGTGCAGGGATCTAAATATATCTGATCCACAGTTTGTCACTCTCATGACAGAATGAGCTAACATGAGGACAATTGATAACTCTCAATCTCATCGATCTGTAAGATTATTATTAAATCTAAAATAGCTAATAATTTAATCAATTATTAACAGGCCCCTTAACGTGGGCAATAACATACGGTTTATAAATTATATAAACAAATTCGAGTCTACTTTTCCGATTTTGCTAATTGTCTATTTAGATCTGTTTCGGTCCTTCGTGGGAGTTCCCACATCTGCTGGTTGAGAATGCTCAACGTTTTAACATTGGAGGGTGAGAATCCCTGCCACGTTTTTGGTCAGTTTCGCCGGGGCTCATGTCTTTCCTCGAGGGAGCATTAGTGTCTACAGAAGAACTGACAAATCCTAGCGAAGTCCAATCCGAACCACATCTTCCACCAAAGGTGATGCTGGGTCAGCTGGTTACTGAACGGATTGGCCTGGAGAAAGGCATAGTCCTGTTATTCTCAAGTTAACCATAGAGGGGGTCAGGCGCTGTTCGCTCACGGCTGGTTCTTGGAGCCAACACCCTCAGCCCCACAGAAGTGGGAGCACGGTCGGTGGTGGCTCACCCAGATAACGGACAGTGTCTCTCCTTCTTTCTTCTTGGACTTGCATTGTTGCTGGTGAGTCAGCTGGCAACAGTGTACCATACTGACTGGATCAGATCACACCAGTCTCATTTCCAGGCGAACCCACCCCCACTCACTCACACGCCGCCCCCCGGGCCGCTCCAGCTAGTGGATATCTAGCAATTAGTTATTTTCCAGCTAGTGGATATCTAGCACTTACTCCTTTTCCAGCTAGTGGATAATTAGCACCCAGAAAAACTCTGGTAAACGGAAGCAACACAAACACACAAACAAAGAAAAGTCACACGCGGCCCAAAATTTCAAATTAAACAAAAAAGGGTCTTCACAAAACACAAATTTGCTTGGTAGGTTCTTATTGTCAACATTATACCGCGCGCGCACGACGCAAAGACGCGCGCAAATAAAAGAAATCGTAGATTTGGGCAAGAGATACTAGATGCTCAGGTATGCCCTGTAGGTTCCTGTCAGCTCACTAGAAAAGACAGGGGGCAGCCTGTTCTAAAAGAGCGCCCGGGAGATCACCTAGGCATGGGTGGTGCTCTCCCGAGAACGAGCATTATGACAGTTTTCCTTCGGGGAAACGTCGCTCACCAGGCTTTATCCTCCGGAGGGTAAGGAGCACTAGCCCATGCCGAGTGCCCGTACCCTGTGACACCTACAACCGGAGGGACCCCAATAGACGTTAGTCACCAGACGGACGTAGCCTTCCGAGAGGAAGGTAAAGTGGGTGCCCCAACCCAAAAAAAAAGAAAAAAAGTTTTAACATCATGATGCTTGACTGCTTTATTGACCCGGGCAGGCACCGGGGGCAGACATCCCAACACCAGTTGCAGTGCGTTGGGACATAGTGTTGGTCTGATTCAGGATGTGTTATATCCCAGAGAAGCCGCCATCCCCTCTACTGCTTTAGCTCAGCGGCAGCATGAGCCCTGTAAGATCTGTAAGATTGGGATGGAACTCCCCCTAAGGCTCTTATTGCTGAGGAATACAAATGGCTAACAAAAGCACTCAGTACTCTCCCTTCATGACATACAGAATGCAAGGTCTAGTAGATTGTCTTCTTAAGTTATCTGCTCAAGTCCCATGCAAGTGGATGTGATAGTCTGGATAGTTGTTTGTCCTATTAATAGAAATTTTCACTTATCTGCACAACACAAACTGCCTTTGGCACACATGTAAAGTAGTCCTAATATGAGCCTTGTCTCTAAAAACCTAACTGAACTAGCGTTTCGGTGTGTGCAAAAGCTTTCAGGCATGCGCATTCCTTGCCCCGTTAGTTACCTGTCCTTCCAAAACCAAACTAGCAGTCAAGGACAAAAAGTCATACACCAAATGGGCATTATATTTTATGAATTGTTGTACATCTTTTTATTCTGTAAAATGTGCTAAAATTAAATTTCTTGTATCATTGAAAAAAAAGGGTCTCGCTTTCGTTATCCCTCTCACAGAAACTTTTCGCTACGGTAGGAGCAGCAGAAAATGTTAAAATGAATAGAATTGTAAGTGTTCGTGCTCAAATGGACATTGGTATCAAATTTGGATAATCCTAAGTAATGTCACAATCGTTTTTATGCACCTTAAATATTTCCATGTTTCTTCTTTTTGATTTTTAACGTCTGATCGTACAAATGGCTACGTGGCCGATTAGTTAGAGCTTCCAGCTTCTGTACTGAAGTTCTAGGGTTCGAATCCCAGTGTTACCTAGTCTAGGGAGATAGCTAAGGATTATTATTATTATTATTAAATCTAAAATAGCTAATAATTTAATAAATTATTAACAGGCCCCTTAACGTGGGCAATAATATACGCTTTATAAATTATATAAACAAATTGCAGTCTATTTTTCCAATGTTGTTAAGTGTCTCTTTAGATCTGTTTTGGTGTTTTGTGGGAGTTCCCACATTTGTTGGTTGAGAATGCTCAACATAACATACATGATGCTTGACTGCTTTATTGACCCGGACAGGCACCGGGGGCAGACATCCCAACACCAGTGCGTTGGGACATAGTGTTGGTCTGCTTCAGGACGTGTTAGATCCTAGAGAAGCCGCCATCCCCTCTACTGCTTTAGCTCAGCGGCAGCATGAGCCCTGGTTTCCTGCCACATTGGTACCTCTGAAAGTACAGAAAAGTGGTGGATTTCGGGGTCCAGGATCCTCCCTCTTTAATCTTTACGGTGGTGTTATTTCTCTGAGATGTTTGCAGAGTCTTTATTTTATGATCTTTCTAGTTTAGTTGGATAAATCCTGGAGAGCATCATTTTGACCCCAAAGAAATTCGACTCTTCTAATGAATGCTTTTTGTGTGCTGCTTTTTGTTAACACTTCATCTAGATAGGAATGTGAGTCAGCCCCACCCAGCTAAGGATTAGTTTCATCTGTGCAAAGTTTCACATTACAGTAATGTCTCAGAGAATTATCGGAAAACCGTAGTTGAGGGTTAAATAAGGTGGGCCCCGTCAAAAGATTGAGAATATTCTTAGGGCTTAATCTAGGTAAACTATAGGTAAAAATATAATATTAATCATAAGCTAAAATGTACTAATCTTTGTATTCTAAATGGGGAAAAGAAGAAACATTGTCAGTCAGTCGAGAAAATTGTCAGTCAGGCTATATGGCAGCTTTGTAGATGTTGTGACAATGCTAGTAGTGGTCCCAGGCTTGCGACTGGAATTGCGGTGTTAAATCGATTTAACGGCGCGGTATACCAACGATCCACCTCCCACTTGTTGTTTGGTACTTAGCATTAATAGTGTTAGCTGTAGCCATTTATAGCAAGAATCTTAAAACTAAAGGGGATGACAAGGAAAAGAGGAAGGAAAAAGAATAACGGAACAAACAATTAATTAAAGTATTTACAGGAGCATTAGTTATTGTAATTACAAGCTTCAATAATAAATCACTGACTAAAACATCTAATTAAAATGACACTTGGTACGCTCGCCCATTTTCACTGGTCAGTCTGAACTTCGGTTTAGCACGTTGTACACTTATTCACCTAAGTTTCAGAATTTTTTCAGTTTAGCAGAGTAAGTACCCGTTTTCAATAAAATCAAAAGATATCAGGGGAGTTCTTTAATATTGTTATGGTCATCTAGAATACCGAACTTCCTGAAAACGTTATTATATTTCCTCAGACAACGTTTAATACCTTAAATCAGTCTATCACGGCTATATCCTCTATCAATTAGAAGTAAAACAAATTTAGTAAAACAAATTTAAATTTTGGTATTTATTAATAACAATCAAAACATATCATATCATAAAAATAAAGCCGCGCGTTGGTTGACTGCCTCAGTATGGTGAATAATTTAAGCTTGAAGGTGCCCTGCGCATTTACAGAACATTATGTGGCGATCACATGATCACGAGGACCTGTGAGCGCCAAATTTAATTTAAACTTTCTAGAAATCGTACATCACTACGAGTTACTCATGCTTTTGAATTATAGGAGTGCGGATTGTCAGGTATTTCATTCATTCATACTTAATCGGTTTAAAGCTGTATATTTAGAGCTCACTATTGTTTGAACTATGAAAGCAGAACGTAAATAATGGACAATATACCGACGACAATACCAAGGACCCGAGTGCCGCATTGACTTTTCCGGATCCGTTTTTACCGAAGGCTTATCCACCAGTTACTCATGCTGCATGTATAGTCTGATAATATTTTGTTTTATCTCTAGCAAGCATTCTGTAAGTTGGAGTGTCGTATTTATTATAGAAGAGCCAGCCAACCTCCGCATTACAATCTTTTGTATGCCAGGTTCGTTTATAAAATCTAATCATATAATAAGATTGATCCAATAGTCTAAGATGAACGGTATATCTTAGCTCATCGTTATTAAAA